AGAGCTCCAGCGACAGAGCTTGAGGAGCTTCCTTTGAAAGCAAATATACAAACAACTCCTGCCCACACACACTGCTCTGAGCAATACAATCTTATATGATGCCATCCTGGACAAGAAAAAAAATAGTTGGTTTTTATTTGCCTCTGCTTCTTTGGATTTCTCAAAGCAAGGACACATCCATGGAATTCAAAAAAAGCTATGCATTCATCAGACTGCTCTTCCTCACTGCTCCCAATCAAAGCCTGATGTTTGGCCCTTGTCTCACACAAGAAAACACATCTCAATTCAAACCAACCAACCCACCCAAAAAAAAAAAACAAGCACAAGCTTAAGAATGGAGTTCTTATATATAAATATATATAAGCCTTGTATCCTGACAAAGTTTTTTCCCCTACAAACCCACATTACGCTGACACGAGAATACATTCCCAAAATCTGCAGATGAAAGAGATCAGGGTGGCAGATAAAAGCTCAAGTAATGGGATACCATCCCCTCCAAACACAGCTCCCTACGGTCTTCACACCCTGCCCCTCCTAAAATAGGCTCAGGTCAACAAATAAATATGCAAACTAAGCAAGCGAAGTTTCACATCTGCTGTTACTTTCGAAACTTAAATAAGCTTAAACAAGTTCTGAAAACCTTAAAAAGAGGATACCGAAAGCAGCAACTGTTGTCTCTGCAATACAACTTGTATGGAAACAGAAGAGCACCAAGTAAAAGGATTAATGTTAAATACAGCTTTGCTGACTGCTCTGGTGATCCCACCTCAGACAGTACCTTTAAAAGCTCATTAACTCTGTGCAACTCACAGCAAGGGCTGTGACTTCATGGAGCAGATGTAGCAGTCCCTAGTTTTGAGAACTCTACCCCAGTTTGAACATGCAAACTCCTGGGAGCAGAAGGCCCTTTTCCCCGTGGTACTTACGTTAGCAATATCGTTTTCCGTGGCTCGGAAGGGCAGCCCTCTCATGTGAACAAAATGACCGCCACCATGGAACCCCGACCCTGCATCTCCAGCTCCATAGCCATGTCCTCCCATGCCTATTGGAAAACCCAAACCAAAAAAACCCACACACCTCTAAGATCATGAAAAGCCAAAAGTCATCGCTATTGTTTTTCTGAAAGCACTGAATTACACCACTGAACACTTGATATTTACACTTCCCATGTACCAACCCAAGCCTTAGCCAGAAAGCATCATAAGCCATTTATTTACCCTTTCTTACGAGTCCCCAATTTCCCCCTTTTTAAACAACCTTCTTTCTTTATAAAATAGCACAATGAAGCCATTTTTTCACTTGAAAATACTGTCTTACATTCACATAACAGCAAAAGCTTTTTAAACAAACTGTTAATTTCTTTTACCTCTCCCATCCCTCATTCTGTCGTCGTAGCCGTCGTTTCCATAACCGTAGTTATTATAGCCACCATAATCATCAAAGCCACCATACCCTGTGCAAAGGAGAGACAGAAAGGAGCGATTACATTACTGCTCAGAATTCACAGAACCATGCACAACACTCAATTTTGCAGTCTTTAGGCACCCAGCACTTTGCCGACAGCCTCTATGGACTGTTAAACCTGGATTTCTGAACACAGTGCAAAAGTACATTTCTTTTTATATAACAGACTGAAACATGCAAATGAGAGATCAAATTCTGCTGAAAGTAGTTTCCTTATTATTTACATTCATCTTAAATAACAAGCCACATTTTTTGACACACTACGAGTTTTTTTGAGGTCAACACGTCCAACCTAACGGGTGTTGGCAGGTACTGCCATTTCGTTATTTCTTGACAAGTATGTCAGAAACATGACACAACAGAACCTCATTAGGTAAACATACCACCGTCATATCCACCACCTCCTCGACGCATTCTGTCATACATACTTCCACGCCCAGCTCCATAATAACCCCCTCTTCCTCCTAATGGTCTATCATATGGTCCAGGTCGCTGTTGTCCCATCATTCTTCTTGGCATGTCAGAGAATCCTCTGATTTCGCTCTTACTACTTTTGAAGATTTCAATATATCTAATAAAAAAGGATTTTCAAGGCACCAGTAAGAACACAGGCAGAAGCTGTCTGAATTTCACAAAAGGCCATACTACGTTTTCTATGACTAAAGGTACAAGCCAATAGCAGTGACTAGAGACACCATACAACTTAAGTTTCTCCTCGAAACCGTAAGAATCTTAAGTGTATTCGAAACCCCCACTTTACAGTGGCAAAAGTTACTATGTGAAAATTCTAGCTGTACAAATTAAGCTTAAAACATGTCTTTCCAGTATGAGAAACATACAATTGAAAAACAATGTCTGGCTATAGCAGCATTTATCACAAATTACCCTACATGAGAGCGATTGAAACAATTTTCTGAGTTTAGCAAACTACCCAGAGCAATACTGTCTCCCCCACCCCCCAAATCTACTGTATTTCCCAAATTAACTTAGGATCAGTTATAAAAATTCTTAAAAACAGCCAATTCCCCAATGGTCCCCAACCCCCCAAAAGCATTACTGACCCACAACCCCCAAAAAATAAAGATTTAACACCATCCCAAACTCTCCATCCCCACCTGTGCCCTATTCTTTCCTTGTGTTTCCCCAGAGCATTTTCTGCTATCTCCTTTGAAGCAAACTGCACGAAGGCCTCCCCTGTGCTTCTCCCCTGGTAGTCCAGCGTCAATGTTATCCCATTTGGCACGATTTCCAACCCTTTAACCCAAGGACAAATAACCCCGTCAAGGGGAACAGTGTTAAAGGCTGAAACATTCCCATCTGCAGCAAATACTTAAAGCATATCTAAACAACAACAACGAAAAAGAAAACCACCTTGTTTCCCCCATCACCCAACAATACAAGCCAATGATCTTTCATTAAACATTTATGGATTTAGCCATACTTCTTTTCTTGTTTAGACTATGCAAAAATACAACCACCTAAGTTACATGAAGAAAATATTGCTACCCATCAAGCAGTTTAACTGATCCAAATGCTAACATTCAGGTTACCCCAATATGCAAAATATCTTTACCACCTCGACAAAATTAGATACATTCTGTGTTTTACTACATCTCTGGTTACTTGTGCTTCATTTACAGGGCATAATTCTTACTCAAGACAAACTAACTTAACACAATCCCTCCCATCCTCCCCATTGCCCACTATTAAAAATGTGCAAAACATCGTGTAAAAGACACAAGAAAGCTCTAAAGAAACCCGCTACACTTCGACTATACTAGAGGTACCTTGGAAAAACTGAACAATCTCTTCTTTGCTGCAACCAAATGGCAGGCCCCGGAGTCGTACCACCGTCCCATCATTGGTTGTATCATTGGGCCCATTGTGTTTGCCACTCCAATCCATTTTTTATTTAAATCAAATCCTAGGAAAAACCGAAACAAAAAATAAAGAGAATTGAGATTCCCTCCATGCCTAAGTCCCTGCCCTCAAAAGAAATCCCTTCCTCAAAGGAAATCTGGCGGGTTTTCTTAGACAACAAGCGTTATGGATAACGAGCTTGATTTCTGTCACGTAGGTAAAACTGTGCTCCCTGGCACGCTTGCACACATGGACACCCATCCCAGCGGGATGGAAGCCCGCGCACGGCGCGGGGATGGCGGGCAGCAGGTGGGCAGGCCCGGCACACAAAGCTCGGTATTTACTCAGAGCACATTTTACATCCGCTCCGTGAGGCTTTGTAGGGTTTTTCTGGTCTGGTTTTTTTTTTTTTTTTGGGGGGGGGGAGGGAGGGTGCTTTCTTTTTCTTTGCCTTTTTTTACAGCAAAACAGTTGAGGAGGGGGCTTCAACCACAAGGCCTTCCTTTGTCTGCCCTCAGCCGGGGGTGGCGAGGGAGGGCGGGTGTGTGTGAGGGGGGTGTGTGGCGGGGGCACCACCACCGTGCCACAAAGGAAGCCGCGGCGGCCGCCTCGTCAGGCGCGGAGCCCTCGCGATGCCGCCTCCCGCCGTGCTGCCGACAGCGCGGCCCTGACCCCCCGCCCGCTCCCCGCCGCCATTTACCGCGCCTCGCCGGCGCGCCCGCCTCCCGCCCGCCCCGCTCGGGCCGCGCTGCCCACCGCGCCCCGCCGCGCACCTCTCGGCCCGCCGGAGCTCAGCTGAGCTGTGCTGTGTCGCCCGGCCCGCACCCCCTCGGCCGCTCCGGGACCCCCGCCCGCCGCTGTTCCGGGGCCGCCGCCACCCTCGGCTCCGCCGCTCAAAATGGCGGCCGCGATCAGGAACGAGGCTCTGCACCGCCCCGCCTCCCCCCGCGCCGGCGCGCGCCGGGCCTGGGTCCGGCTCCGCGAGAGGCGCAGGGATCCCCCCCCCCCCCCTCCGGCCCCCGCAGCCCCCCGGGCGGGCCCCGCACACCTTCCCCCCCCATCCCGCTCACCGCGAGTCCCTCCGCACCCCTGGATGTGCCCCGGCAGCCGCTCACGCCGGGCAGGACGCGCCTCCTCACTCCCTCACAGGACCGGCCGGCGGGACCCGCACCTGCGCAGCGCCCACAGGCAGCGGAAGGTCCAGGCCGCGCGACTATCGCGATAGCCGCGCCGCGTGCCGCCTCTCCCCTGCCTAGGCGGCACCTGCGCACGCGCGATGGGGGATGGTGGTGGCGGGAGGGCACATGGCGCATGCGCGGTTCGGAGGAGAAGGCGGGGGGGGCGGTCCCCGCTTGGTCCTTCGGCCGCCGATGCCGCCGAGGTGCGCGTGTGCGCTCGTGTCGCGGGCACGCGGCCGCCGCCGTGCGCTTTGGCGCCCCACGGGAGCGCGCGCGGCCCGGCCACCGCCTCACGCCGCCATCGCCTCCGGTCCGGCCTTGGAGCGTGGGTCTCGCTCTGGGCGCCCCGCGGCCCCGGCGCAGCCCTGGCAGGGAGGCTGCCCGGGGTGGGCGCACGCAATGGTTGCCCGCGGTAAACCCGCGGCACCGCCGGAGCCCGGCGGGGTTCCGCCTCTCTCACTGGGGGACGCGCCGGGCCGGGCGCTGTGCTGGGAGGGCCCGTGGGGGCGTTCGGGAGCTGGTGGCTAGCGGTGCCAGAGGGAGGCTGAACTCTGTATTTTAATTTAAAACACCGGTGCAGAGCGCCGGGGCCGTGCAGGGAGGCTCGGGCCGGGCCGGCGCTCGGAAGTGACGGGATGGACCCTCTGGCTCCTCCTGCCCTCAGGGAAACATTAACTTAGAGCCCTGCTGTGGTTTGGGGTAGAGGAGCTTAGAAAGTACCCTGCAGGGCACAGCCTGCGGCTGAACAGGCTCAAAGGACAATGCAAATCCCAGTTTTTACGGTTGATGCCTTTACAAACCGGCCGTTTTCTGGAAATCCCGCGGCAGTTTGTCTGCTTGAAAATGTAAGTGAAAAAAGCCCCAAGCAACTGTTTCTTGAGGTCGTGCAATGACGTTTGCCATTGTGTGCTTGGCCTGAGTACTCAGCACTGCGTTAGACTTTGCTTCCTTCACTCGGGAGCGCTGCTTGCGAGGGTGGTTTGCTGTTGGTCCAGAACAGAGAGGGATTAGCACAGGGGTGCTCTTTGCATCAGAACGATGTCACACAAGACACCCTTTGTATTTTTTGTGGTCTTCTTAAAATATTCTTTTAAGTAATATGTTGGATGTATTCTGAGTTAAGTCAAAAAGAAACGACTTAATTTCTTAAGAATGATTCTGAAGGATTAAGAAGGATTTTGAATGAAATCTTTAAAAAGTAGTGCTGTAACACAGAATCAGTACTCACTAGTTTTTGACTGAAGGATTGAACTGTGGTTTTTGGTGTGGGTTTTCTCAATTTTTTTTTTAAAATTTTTTTTTGTGTAAAGGAAGACAGGGAGTATAGAAATGGATCTTAGTCTTCCATCATTAGTGTGTTAGGTTCATCTTTAGTCGAGTTTAAACAGCCAATTTTTATTGCTTCAAAGTTGGTAGTTTTGGTTCAATTGTCAGCAGTTACCCTCCTCATCAGGGTGTTGTGAACAGTTGGTACTAATTGGAACTGATTTCTACTAAAAGTAATTATTAAATGGGAATTAGAAGTTTATAGCCCTTGTATTATTTGTGTAGTAATTCCTGATGAAAATTGTAAATAGGAAAATATATGTTGAATAGTCAATGGCAACAGCTTGTACTGATGATACGAATCCTTTCTGGATGTTCCTATGTCTACCTACATCTCATACAACGTTGCCTACTCACCAGGGCAGCTGAAGCTATGACTTGAGAACATCTTACTTCACAGGTATTTTTGGCCCCCTAAAATCTAAATACTCTCAGAATGATCTCTGGTTTAAAACTGTGAGCTTCTGACTGCGTTTTTATGTTAATTTTACTTTGTTACACTAAGATATTGTGAGGACAGTTTACTTGCACGGTGCCTGTGGAATGTGGACGTTATGAAGTTTTTTCTGCAGTTCCTGGAGGCAGAGGTTTTAGTGTCCAAGTTAAAGCTGAGGTCCTACTTCAGCATTTTATTCTAAGCTTCAAGAAAGCATGGTGCAGCCAGCAGCAAAACTACTCTGTTCCCTTCAGTGTCTCGGCAGGTGCTTTACCGAAAAAATCGGGAGTAATGCAAGAATGGCAAAACCAGCCCTTTCTGTCTTTCAGAGGTGCCACAGGGTGGCAGTATTTCAATAAAGTTCTATATTATTAAAAATATTATTTTAACAACATTTTTGTTGGTCTTTGTTTTGTTTTACGTTCTTTACTGTAACTGTAAATTACAGAACTGTTTTTCTGGAATAAAGGAGAGGTGCTTGTTACTCTAAAACGTTAAAATGTTGTTTAGTTGTGTAGAATTTAATCTGCAAGAACAGGTCATTGTACACATTAATAATTGTTTTGTATATGTGGTATGGGCTGAAAAGGATTAGTTATTAAAGGAAATAATCAAAGTTAGGAGGGCAGATTTTTATCTCTCAGAGGCTGAACCTGATCAGGTCCCCTTAGACCTTTGTTTCATTTGAGTGTCAGTATTTTAAGGATCAGACTCTCAAACCTGGGCAGTCAGCAGAATTGTGGGGAAAGCAATGGGACAAGGGCCAGGTAGAATGTTCTACACTCTGGGGCTCGTGTATCTTGGGATCAATGGTCACTGGTTTAGATGGAGGGGCACTTACTGAGCTCCAGCTTTTCTGGTTTGGTTTTTTTTTTTTTTCCAGTTTCTCTTTTCTCAGGTCCCACTGACTCAGTGTATTGTTCTTTAAGGAGTTTTGGGGAGGGCACGGCCCTGAGGGCTGCTGAGCCACCTTGGGCATTCCATCACTACAGAGCTCTTGGTGTAGAGCAGGGATTTTTCAGAGTTATAAAAAGAAAGTTGTAGTTAATTTTAGATTATGTTAATAGTGACTTCTCAGTGTGACTTTAGTTACAACTTAAAAAATCAGATTTGTGTTCCTGGAAAGACTGAGTCTAGTTTCTTTTAGGTGATTTATTTTTCCATGTAGTCCAAGAATTTGTAAACTAAGAGGACAAATATTAGAAATTCCCATGTATCACAGTGATTGGTTGGATTGTTATCCCAGTTTTATGCTTAAAGATTTTTTTAATCTCACAAAATATTTTGAACTGTAGCTGAATCTATGTTTTATTAATAATAGAAAATGAAATAACTGTATTTGACAGAAAGATTGATTCTGCATTTTTTGGCCTGCTTGTAATTGGATTTGTTGTTTCATCATTAGGAGCTGGATGAAGATTTGCACCAAAAAATCGCAACAGAGATGAATCTTTCAGAAACAGCTTTCATCAGAAAGCTGCACCCTGGAGATGACTTTACCAAAAGTGAGTTGGTTCTGTTTGCTCCCCAAAATATCTAACAAGGGAATAGGATGACACTTAACCCTTAAAGGGCAAACCAGCCTGCAGATGTATAATGATCATGACCATCCCTTTGTGGGATTCCATAATACACAAGAACACAGAGGCTTATCTTCTAAATAAGACCTGTTTAGGAGAAAGGAAAAATCTGTGCATTTCTTGGAGTTCTCAAAGTTCTATCCATTTTGGGTAAAAATTAAGGCATTTTTGTATCTCAGAGACATAAGAGAGCGCCACCACTTCAAGAAGCCAATAGATGCTGTTAAGTTCCACTTTTCACCTGAAACAGCCAATAGATGATGGTGTTTTCAGTTCTCTCAGACCAGTTTTTATTTTTCCAGGCTGTTTTCCTGTTCTTTCAGTTAGAACAACCAGTGGCAGTTACTGATTCTTACTTTCTCAGTTTGTTTTCCCCTTTTCCCAGACTGTTTTTCACCTTCTTGGAGGATAAGTTACGAGTTGAGGCTGTCACAGGTAGTTGGGTTTGTTCTTACCAGTGACATCTCAGGTGTCCCTGGTTTCTGGCTCCCCAGGAGCACCAGAGGTGCCAGTTCCACCTCTCAGGGATGTGCCTGGTTCCCAGGCTGGAGGCAGTTCTGGAGCATCCTTTGGCTCTGCACATCCTTTGCTCCTGTATCAAAGTAGCTCTTCTTGTTAGTAGTAGAGTCCAGTTGCTGACCTGACTGACCAGTGACAGCTGTGCCAGAGATCAGTGCCAAATGGGTTTCTAAAAGTGTGTTTAGGACCAAGACTGCTTATAACATGCATTTTGTTTAACTGAAAGATCACCACTCTGTATAAAGTGTTGAGATCAAATGAAGAAATAGACTCTTCCACCTACTAACACCACATAAACTTTCTTTTCCAGGTTCCTGCTTTGGACTGAGGTGGTTCACCCCAGCCAATGAAGTTCCTCTCTGTGGTCATGCTACCCTGGCATCGGCTGCTGTGTTGTTTCACATACAAAGTATGCTTACAAACTAGATATTTTATATATAAACATTTTAGAAAATTCACTTCTGACTAAGATCTTCATTTTCTACAACAAAGGGAATTAAATATTCATAACATTTAGAGGACACACATATGGAGATACCATAGGTGTTGTACTACAACTGCTCTGTCATTATAAGGCTGTAGTCTGGTGGCTACACCTGCATAATGAACTTTTTCTGACTATACTGAGCTACTCCAAGAGCAGTAGTAATTTAGATTCAAATTCTTGTGTTTGATAACGTTACAGTGTTCTTTCTCTAGAAAATACAAATCCAGTTCTCACATTTGTGACACTGAGCGGGGAATTAAAAGCCAGACAAGTGAAAGATCACATTGTCCTGGACTTGCCACTTTATACAGCCCATCCTCAGGTCAGTCCAAGTTTTATTCCTGACAGGCTTTCAGAGTGAGTCTGTGTTGATGTTTGTATGTGTATGCTGATGTTTTATGTGTATGTAAGTGTATGTGTCTGTCTATAGTTGCATAGAGGCATACATATATATTCTCTTTTTTACAGTATATTTTTTTTTTTCAGGTACTTGAGGAAGTAGAAGAATTAATAAAGGTAAAAATAGGATCTCTATGTTGTCTTAGAAGAACATTTGTAATAGCTCTACTTATTTTTGTATGTTGAAATGGCAACAAGGCCCTGCTTGTTGTACTCCTACCCTTGAAACACCAAACTTCTGAGGTCTGAGTCCGGACTCAGTAGGTCAGGAAATGGAATTCTCCAAAATGCTGCAGTTTAACCTGTCTCCCACTACTGCTGAGTGGAGTGTCCTTGACCTCTTCTAGGTCCTGGATTTCCTACCACCCACCCGTATCCATTCATGAGCGCCTTTGCTTGTCTTGCTTGCCTGTACTAGAGAACCCTCTAGTATGAGAGACCTTGCGTAGGGACTGTTGTAGCAGGGAGTGTGTTCCACAAAAATGTTAAGGAAACAGTATTTCATATTCAAGTGGTGATGTTTTCCTCTGTCTCCTTTATGTTTTCCTCCAGGCAGCAGTTGGTGACATGACTGTTCAAGATGTCCGTTACTCTCCTGACACAAAGAAACTATTGGTCCGTCTCAGTGATACTTATGAAAGGTGTCTAATACTTCTTTTTTTTTTAAATCAGGAGTGCAGAAATTGAGTTGGCTTGTGTAATCTCTGTTCCTTACATACTAAGCTCTGTTGTCTAGTTTTAAATCAGGTGGAGATTAAAAACTCTAATTTAAGTTTCTGTATTAATAGTTATTTTATCTTTTAGTTTGAACTTATTGAACCTGCAAAGGTGAATAAGGCCAATCTGAAATCTGTTTTGAAGAAAAGGTGTAGGAAACAGTTTTAATGATGGTGTATTTTCCCCTTCCATCTGTGTCTAAAATGATCCAGTAACCTAGCAGGAAGTTAGGAGTCCTGCTTTGATTCAGAGCACATTGCCAGAATGCCAAGAATTCTTACACTCAGTGGACTGTAATCTGCTTTCACATGCTTAACAGCATTGTAAGTAGCTTTACAGAGAAAATTCCAATTCAAATTTTTCCAAAGCATTTGTGACTCTCATAGAGCTGAATTTCATTGTTAGTTCAAGTATGACTTAGCTATGTATTGTGGAAAGACAACTTCTTTAATCAGACCAAGTTACTACTGTTACAAACTTGAAGTTTGGCCGAACTAATGTTTAAAGATTGGGGTAGTGGGAAGATAGAAATAGATGGAACTGTCCTCATGTGAGTACTTATTATTTTTACTCTTTCAGACTTTATTTTGCAGAGAGGTATCGGACAGTTGTAGACTGCTTTAGAATGCCACAAAGAGCTGAATGGTGTTATTTACTTGCTCTGAAAGGAGGTGGAGCACTTATCTCTGTGTGTTCTGTAGTGAGGAAATATTTCTTTCAATGATTAAAATATTAAAATAAAAGTTTGATTTTTTTTTTTTTGTAGCTGCTATTCTAGGATGCTCCATTTTCAGAAATAAATAAAAAATGCATGGCCTGAGCTTTTTTTTTCTCTGCTCACTCAGAGTGTATTTTATTCAGGATGATTTCTGTCAAATAACATTGAGGGGACAATGTTTCCTCTAATATTTTAAGGCTGTTTGTGAATTGTAGAGAAGATGATTTTTTAATTTTATATTTCTTTTCAGTACTTACATTCAAGTAAAATGAAGAATATGGGCTATTAAAATTTTATAATTTATATTCAAGGTCTGTGTTGGAAGAACTGAAAGTGAGTGCACAAAGCTTTTTGTCAGCTGAAAAGACGGGAAAAGTGAAAGGACTCATACTCACTCTTAAGGGAAATTCCAGTGGGAAGGGCCATGATTTTTACTCCAGATATTTTGCACCTTGGTATGGAGTTCTGGAGGACCCTGTTACAGGTGTGTGTGTGAGATAAGCAACTCCTCCTTTTGTTTCAGTTCAATCAAAAGGTTCTTATTAAATGTCATAAATCTGTTTTTGTTCTTTAGAGTCTCTTATAACTTCCTGTTTTATATGGACAGCAGGAGTGTGCCACTAAACTGAAAACTTTCATGACCAATGACAGTTTATTCAGCAAAAATCCAGTCAGCTTCTTGCTGTCATTAGGCCAGACATTCCTGTGCCTTTTTCAGATCTTTTCCCTGAAGTGTTCTAGTTAGAGAAAAGTGAGAGAGACTGATTCGGTGTTGGATGAGTATTGCAGTAGAAATTCATGTCCACTTCCATCAGTGTTCTGTTTTTTGTGTTGGTGGCTAATGCTGAAGCCCTCAGCTAAGCAAAATTTCCATTGAAGGAAATAATACTGCTTTGTTGTAAATAATGGCAATTATAAAGCCTTAAGTTCTGTCTGCTGCGCAAACTCATAGTTGGTTTTCTTTTTGCCTTAGACACACGTGGCACTTGATGTATGACATTTGCATTTTGCCTGTGCTTGCTCTATAAAATAGTGATTATAATTTAATTGTGTACTTTTTTTCTCAATTTCTTTTAAGGATCTGCTCATGCTGTTTTAAGCAGCTACTGGTCAGAGCAACTGGGGAAGAAAGAAATGCTTGGTAAGAGAAACTGTTTTATTGCAAAGCTGCCCATTTATTATCTACTCCCTAGAAAAGACAAGGGTTTATTATTACTGCAGTCCAAACTGTAGTATTAACTCCCTATCCATTTTCTCAGTATGAGTAGAACATGATGTAATATTTTGCATGTGAGGTAATCTTTGATAAATTGCTTTCTTTCCTACCCAGCACCCTGGCACATCCTGCCCACAGGGAGTTGGAAGTGTCGGTTTGTGGATCATAACTCTCTGCAGATAGTTTTTGATTTCAGCTTTTGGATTTTAATTCTCCTGAGCTTTCCTCACAAGTGCAGCTTGGTGAAACTCAGGTGATGTTGTTTACGTGTTTTGATTGGATTTTACTTTCCTGCTTGGTCTTTCTGGTTTCCATGTTGGGTATTGGGAACAGGTATCAGTATTTTCATTAACCCTTTGTACTTTCCAGTACACTTTGAGCAGTGTTTTCCTTTCCCCTCATGTATTCTGAGACCAAAACAGCTTATATAATTTCTGCTCAATGTTGGAATTTTCTTGAGAGTTGTTCCAAATGAATCGTTTCACTGACTTATTTTGGAAACTTAGTAGCCTCTGTAATACCCATTACTTCTTATTGTAAGAATAAAGGAAGAATTTCTTCTGTAAAATGAAGGATCTGTTAGTTCCCAAACAGATTGCATATGAAATAATACAAAAATAAGAAACAATAAATCCATTGTCAGATCTCTCTGGCTATGGTGACCTCTAGGAGGAGGCTACAAAGAGAATTTCCCAGGTGAAATACTTTATGATCTTTCTTGAAACTGTGTACATGTCCCTGAATTTAAGCTGCTGGCTAAATCAAGGTTCAGTATCAATCCTTGCCTTTCTTTCATTTGAGGAATCTCTGCAATGTTTATAGTCTCTTATATCAAATGGACTCGTATTTGTTAATGAGTGCAGTGTATAGCAGCTGTCTGTGTATCCAGCCCTTCACATGGTTTTCACATTTCTAAGGTAATATTTATAAACGTGCATAAGGAATTCCATATCTCCAAACAGACTGGCTCCCCAAAATCCAACCAAAATACTGGTGATTTCTTAAAACATATATTATTGCAAAACCAGCACTTTTTCGTGAGTTAATGTCATTATGATGACATCATGAAGAAAATCCATTAGTCCTTAAACCATTTTGCCCCTTTTGTGTGCAGTGGCCATTTAGCTACATCTAGACTTAGAAGCTCCTCATAACAACGGGACACTCTCAGCATAAGGCCACAGCTGACTTGTGAGTGCAGGGGTGTGTGATTCTGTGATATCAGCATACTCAGCTTCACAGTCCCTGGGTCAGGTTAATCACAGAGGAATTCAGAGCACTGTGAATGTAGCTGTTATGTATTGTTTCTGCAATTGTACATACTTGATTGTATTGAAAATATGTAGAAAATCTACGTATAGTATGAGGTGTTCCTGGTAAATATGGACGTGGACTGGATGTGCAATAACCCTGTGATCTAAAAGGTGAGTGCACACCAGAGATGCTTGAATGTCTGCAGAAGTATTGCTGGTGAATGAAATCTTCTAGTTATTGAAATGTGCCCTGCAGGCCTGGTTGCCCTCAGACATAGTGTGAAATATCAGTGCTTCTGTGGGAGAGAAAGAATAGATCAAATATTATTTTCATATAATCTTGGCTAAACCTTCCTTTTGTGGGTTATTTTTTGGTTTTCTCCTGCTTTGGAAGTTTCTTTAAAAATAAAATGAGATGGACCAATATGAAAACAATCTCAGTAATCCTGCCATGAAACAGCCAGTACTGCTTGAACATTTAACAAGAAAAAAACCCAACCACAACCAACCTCTGAAGATATGAAATAATTAATCTCTTTTATTTATATCTGCTATCACAAGGGTGTGGGAGAGCTTAGGTGTGTATCCACTCTTGGCAATAATAATAGATCAAATGTAGCATGGCCTGGATCTTTAAGAGTCAGAAATACCCAATTGAAGCATTATTCTGTTCCTAGATGATGTTCTGACAAGTTAAAACCAATGACTGGTAGTTCTATAAATGGAAAAGAAGAGAAAGTATCAATATCAATCTTTAGATAGGTCCTGTTTCCACTGTTTTAGAGGGTCTACTTTGTCTGGGAATCTAATATCCTGATCAAAGAACAGCTTTCTTATCAGCAGTGGGTGAGAAAGAGTTTTAAAGCATACAACATATCTACCATCTGTTAGAGAGCTTATGCTCTGCAGGGATCTGAGCACAGTCTGTGTCTAATTTATAAATTGTGGGGCTGAGAGGAAAAATATGCCCTTTAGTTTTGAACAACTTCTGTAGCAATTGGAAATTCGTTGAGTAAGGAACTGGACATTAAAGCCTCTTCATCCGTTTACAGCCTTTTACAAAAGCAACACTACATGAAACTCAAACATTTTCTAAATACCATCTGAACCAGACCATTTTCTGATCAAGGAGTTGTGCAACTAAAATGGCTCTGCTGAAATAAGTTACAGAGTCCACAAGTGAAGTGAACTTTATCATCCCACCTGTGTATGGCTGAACAGTTCAGGCAAAAGCTTAGTTCTGTAATTAATTACAAGGCTGTTCCTACTTCAAGTTGATCCAGTTGTATTAAATTATATATTCAGGATTCTATAAATCACTGTCTCTTCCTGTCTTTGGAAGAACTTGGTGTCAGTTTGTGACAGCTGAAGCAGCAGTGATGTTTCCTTGTAGACTTTTTCCACTGCCTGTGTGAGCTTATTTCCCCCTAAGCCTCATTCCTTCTTTGACTGTCATATCAGCTTGAGCTGTTCAGTGCCAGGAAAATGGTTCTTCATTCTCCTGGAGATAATGCTTGATGTTCTTCCTTCTGACCTGCAGAAAGTGTATCCCAGGGAGGGAGAACTCAAGGCTTCAGTTGGCTGCAGCACAGCAGCTTCCCAGCTGGTGTTAAGGAGCAGGTTTGTGAGACTCAGGAGCCAAGTTCCAGCTGGAAATACAGCCGGGCTGATCTTCATCCCTGTCCCTGGTGCAGTGTTTGCTTTCTGCAGACAGCAGCCTCATTTGCTGGAGTTTTTCCTGGATTTTTAAGTAATTTGTGCTCCACACTAGTTTTTTAACTGTGGGTTCTTGTTTCCCTTCAGCCTTTCAGTGTTCCCGCCGTGGAGGGGAGTTGAAGATTTGCCTGCGCAGCGACGGGAGGGTGGACATTGCAGGGCAAAGTGCTGTGGTGTTTAAAGGAACCCTGACTTTCTGAAGGAGCTGGCACTAACCTCCCACACCTTCATGGAACTCCTATTATGCTGATTTTCTCTCAGCTCTAGGCAGTGAATCCCCCCCATTCTCAGAAGTCTTTGATTCCTTGTAGTCCATTTTAAAAATGGCTTGAAAATACTTCTGATCTTCAAGATTCTTGGTATTGTTTTCTTCCCTCTTAATCTTGCCACTTCATGTATACACTGACCTCAGAGAATGTTCTAGGACAGCTCTCTTGTTTTTCTGCTTCTTGGATTGAACTGTAAACATCTCTGATTGATAAAATAATCGAACTTTTCCCGGATTCAGAATTTTCTGTGACATCTGAGTTCCTTTCTTTGAAACATGTATTTTCTCTGCCATATATTAAAATGACAGTCATGTTCATTAATTTACTTGAATTGAAATGTGAAAAAATACAAATGGTTGAGAAATGTGCCTTGTGGTTCTCTTTTATGAACAGTATTTTTCAAAGATGAATGGTATTGCAGTTGCTCATAGTGCTGTTGCTGCTTAGTCAATACTTTTCATTAGAGCAGAAAGATTTAAGAGAGTGACGTAGAGATGCACATAAAGCTGATTAAACTCTGAAAGGAAACTTTATTGGTTACAGCAATGTCAGTTACTTCTCAAAGACTGAAGATTTGCTCCTGGAAGTGTAGATACCCCTTCTGGAAGAATTTTCTTCCTAAAGTGCTGCTTCATATTTTGTCACCACGATGTGGTCTTTCACTGGATTTATTAGGAATATTGAACTGTTTCAGTTTCTCCAGCTGAAACTCTGCTGTCTCTTTCAAGTCACCTCTGTCCCAAGCTTTAGCCTTAGTTTTTTCTCTTTGCAGTATATGAGAATGAAGTGTTTTGAACTCAGAGGCATTTTCATAATGTGGGAACAGCTGAATGTCAGCCTGTTATAAATAATGAGGAACTTAGTTGTGCCAAGTTCCCTTATTTCCAGTTATTTTGAATTTTATCATAGCTTATCACTTACATCTTGTGAAGTTCAAGTACCTGGAGACAAGTCTCTATATCCTGTAGCTACACAGAACATACCAATAATGTGATTTAAATGCACTATTGAGGCCAAGGGCTAGGTGGCAAGCAAAAGGAGTCTCCAAATGGAAATGCCCATTCTTCTGTACTCAGTCTTGCTGAAGTTCATGGACCTGAAATATTATTTATAAGCATGGGGGTCATCATCACACATCAAACACAGGCAGCTCAGCAGCCCTGCTGCAGTGGCAGGTTTATCCTTGGCCTCACCTTCTCACAAATCAAACTGATCACTTCCTGGCTGGTGACATGGGTCTTCTTGAGCAGCAATGCTGCAAGCTTGTTCTGCTTGTGGTTTATGCAAAGGCTCAATCTGGCCTATAATCTGAGATGCTTTGGGAAAAAAAATCCCTTCTTTAAGAATATAAATGAACTAAAGGGGCAATTGTTTTTCACCTGTCCACATTTAACACAGACGATTCAATTATTATTTTTTTACTCTATGAGGACTAATGATGAACAAGGCCCATAAATTTTAAAGATACTTATTATCTAAATTTCCTGACTAAACCAATATCTTTGCTGCTTAAAGCATTTTTTTTTTATAGTTTACTACTACTTTGTCTCTATTTCTTTTCAGGATAGAAAAATCACCAGAGCTCAGGTGGGAGGCTATACAGTAATATGTTTGTAATCAACAGATTAATTAACCAGCCATGATTTATTAATGATGAATTAATTATACCTTATTGTGCAGTTCTGCTGCCTAAATGGAGCTTTAAAGGAGTTATTTTATTAATCATCATTGTCTAATTGCAGACACTTACAGAAAGATTGCTAATTAAACATGCAAGCCATATGCAAAACAAGCAAGGCTGCTGAGAGTGGCAAGAAAAAGAGTACTCATTTTCTCAGTAGCAACTTTATTCTCTTGAAATACTGTGTAGTTGACCTGGTGATCCTAATTATTCACCAAGACTTATTTTAATATATTGCACATTTTCAGTCAATAGTAGAGGAAATTAATTGTTGTGACAAATTCCGTCTTTCCCAGTGCAAAAAATAGGTTGTGCAGACTTCAAATGAGATTATTTAGAATTTGTGTGGCCTTGTTTTGTGTTTTTATGGGAAGGATTTGTTTAGTGGTTCTGTTGGAGAGGATTTGCAGAACTGTTTTGTGCTGCTCTCTTAATTAAGACTTGGGGCATAGAGATGTGTTGAACCAAGAGCAAATTATTGACAGGAAATACAATTCCAAAAATTGCTCTGCTTTTGAGTGTTATTTATCATGGGAGTGTCCAACAGAAGTTACAGGCCAGATCCAACAGCCCAGACATGACAATTTAAATGCACATTTGCTTATTTTACTTTGCAGAGGCACAGCTCATGTAGGGGTCAGGAAGAACATGAGAAACAAGGCAAAATAATACTGAGCAATAGAAACCATACAAGTTTGTTGCTTTAGAAATGAATGTAGAGCTAAAAGGGATGAAAAAGGGAAGACTTTTTTTATTCAGTAAGCCATTTAAAAGATTTGCTTAAAGGATTCATGATAATACTTTGCATTTGTTTTTAAGTTATGTAGATGAGAATAGGTGGAAAACATACATTAAAAAGTTGTTACTAAATTTTGCAAGAAGAGGAAAGAAAAGATTTCATGAATGTACACACAGCAAGAGGTCATAGAAAGGAGCCATGTGTTCCATAAGGGAGGGAAGGGAAATTAGCAACAGATGAGGCAGTTATTTCTGGGAAAGTAAGGATTTCTTTGTCTCATCAGAGATGTGTTCATCAGAGTGACAGAGGAACACGCCGGGAACAGAGGGGACCTTCCCAGAAGTAAAAAAAAAATCAAACCCCTAAATTAGAATTAAGGGTGATGCCTGATCAGGTAAAAATTAAACTAGTTCAATTAAAAACTGAAAAATCTGCCAATTAAGCAGTTTGATTCTGACATCTATTTTTTTCCCCTAGAGGAGTAAATCTGTCTTTAATTACCAGACTTAAAAACACAGAACAAGGGTTTTTTCTCAGTTGCTGAGTTACTGTCCTTTTATTTCCTGAAGTTTACTCCAAACCATAATTAACAAAATTCAAAAGAAGAGGAAAGTGCAATAACAAAACCCAGTATATGACCAGATAGTCAGAAGTTTGTATGGTTTTTTTCCTACAAGTTGGTTTTAGACTAAGATATTTAGATTTAACATCTAAAGTAGAATATAGAAAAACAAACATTTCTGACTGTCTTGGTTTCTTTAGTGAGAGGTTCACTTTGACTCGTGTTTTTGCCTCACTGAGTGGCAAAGAAGGACATTCCATGGGTTTTAATGTTGTGATTCATATAGGCTGAAGTTTTATTCACTTTGTAGCGTTCTGTGACTTTTTTTGGTGATACACTCAAACCAAGAAACTACTTTCCCATGTTATTTTTGTCCTGTTAAGAATTACAGGGTCAATAAAATATCTTAGGCAAACCCAAGGAACATTCTCAAGAATGTTTTTGGAATTCTGTTTGTGAGGAGCAGGAGGTGTAATGCCCATGCAGAGACTTGTGGAACGTGACCACTTTAAGGGCACACCCTCAGTGTTTGCCCCCAGTCTAAGTTAATGATGCAAAGACAGTTCATAGGATCTGCAAGTTGGGTCGAGAGATGTTTGGCCAGAGAAGAGATTGTGTGGATTATAGTAGAGCTGGAGCAGAGTATGAGGTGCAGCAAAGCCAGGAACCTGAGTTTGAGTTCAAATATATTATCTGCTGACCTTCCTCTGTGCGTTGGATCCAAAGCAGAGGGGACTTACCAGATTATGCATCCCACAAAGCTCAAGTCAGGTGGGAAATTCCAGCTGGAATTCTTGAATTTTTCTTTTGTTTCAGAAAGCCTCCTTCCTTCATAATTACTTATGGCTGTAAACAGAAATAAATCACAATCTTAGTGACTATGATAATTTCAGTCACCCACATTCAGGAAGAAATGTCTTCTTTCTGAATGAAATAATTCTGTTTTAAAAACAGCCTTTTAGACTTTGTTATGTTTGTGTGTAGCAGCTCTCTGAAGATGTGTCAGATTGACTTCCATATTTAACATCATAGCCTCTTTTCTTACCCGTGTTTTTAACGAGTGTGGGTATTGCAACTTTCAGAAACCTTTCAGCAGTTAATAGTTAATAGCAACAATGAAAAAAGTACCCTCTTAATAACAAACTGCAGGCACTTTCTCAATAAAGTTACAATTTCAGCAGAAAAAAAATGTATATTAAAAGGAAACACCTGCTCCGGTAAATTACTGTGTTGCAGGTACCAACCCAGGAGACTGTGCAGATGGTTCTATATTTGCAAACCTGACCTCATCACCCCTTCATCAATCTCTGACTGCTTGGTTCTCTCCAAAGCAGAACACACTGTATCCCAAGGTACTAGAAGACACCTTTGAATTAGTTCCAGTCAGAATACCAATTAATTGGTGCTTCTGTTTCCTTTTGGAAGTTCTTAACAAAGGATTTGATTGTCTTATCAGGCACTAGCACTGACTGAAAGATAGTACAGTCAGTTCCAGGAAGAGCTCCAAAGGGAATTATATTCAGGAGGTGTAGTCTTTGCTTCATTCCCTGATTGAGAGGGTTAAGTTGTACAATGCCCTAGGATTTTGAGATGAATGAAAAGAAAGTGGGATCTTGATCCTTAAAACAGTACAATATGAATTCATTGCTTTTATTAGCCTTTCCTGCCAGCCAAGGAAAAGTAAGAGAGATCACAAATTCTGTACATTTGTTTTCCCTCCTCCACTGTTTTCAGTTATCTTACACTCTTCCTGAGACCTGAGACTGATTTTGCCAGTCTTCTCTTAACTAGAAGAAATTTGCCTACGTGCTTCTTCCAGTTGTACCTATGCAAAGGCCTTATGCAATGTATCAAGACCTGTTTGCTTTGGGGAAGGAAACATGAACAGCCTTTCTAGAAAACAACCTTGCTGAAAGAAATAGAGACAAGCTCGTGTTCCCTGTGCAGTCACACATGTTCCTGTTTTGTCACCCATGCTCCTCAAAATTCAGAGGAGGACAGAGCTTTACGGTTGTACATTTTGCACTTCAGCGATGCCAATAAAATATTTGGGTTTGTTTCCTCTTTGTGGATCACTTTGCATTTTACAGCTTCTTTATTCTGTGAGTACCCAGATACATTAAACGCTTTCCATTCACCTCAAAGAAGAAACATGCTTTTGCTAAAGATTTAGAGAATAAGGGAAATGAATCTGCATGCAGTTTGCCAGAATTCTTTGTATTTTCAGACTTATTGCATCACTGTCTTGAATTATGAGGTATTTTGATGGTCTTTTCAGCATTTCATAAGGCCATCATCTAATCTGGTGGCCCCCAACACACACTACAGACAGTAGCACTCCACGAAGCAATCTGTGCTGACGCTTTGTGATTTAGGTATAGGAGAACAATGTCCAGATTTAATATAAAAATGTAAGCATATGGAAAAAACTATCATATTCTGTGGTAAAATATCTGGGAATTTTCTGTTGAAAATATATTCTGTGTTACCAGTTCCTGGCCTTCAAACTTCAGGGGTTTTTGTTTGTTTTTGATGCTATAGAACTTGGACAGGAAGTTTTCCTGGTGACTTTAAAAATGTCCCTAGTTCTTTAAACCTATAGCACCTTGTTCAAAGCACATTTTTCATTGAGCCTGAATTACATAAATATCAATATTACTGTGCTCAGACACTTTTTTTTTTAAACTGTAAGAAAAAAAAAAGTAATACATACCTTTTTACTTCTCAACTGTATGTGAACAAGGCCAGCTGCAACAGAAATAGAGCTGCCTTCCTGCATTTTTTGCATTAGGAATTAAAGTCCATGAGTAGTTGATGACATAAACCACAATTAAATAAGGATGATTGTGTCATTTATTTTGTGTGGAAACAAGGAAACCTGTTTTCTTGTGGCTGAATATATTTCTGTAAAAATTATTGAAGTTCTTAATTTGAAGTTTTCACTATGATAATAATTAATTCTGAGAAAACTTTCCCATCCTCGAGTTTGTATAATTCAAAAGAAAACCTGTGAAAATCCAATAGAATGCTGACATTCAAGAAATGAAATCCTGAAAAAATAAGGAATTAAAAGAAACAACTAGCTTCATGGGAGAAAAAAACCTCAACCAACAAGCTTTTTGATATCAGATATTCAGTCCTTTTGCTACATATGCCGGGTAAAGTGAGATTTCTGCTCTTCTAGTCATGGCTTCTCACATTTTATTCTCACGTACCTAATGGGAAACGTTGTCCTTTGTGCATTCTAAAGCCAGCATTATTGTTGCTATATTAGCAATCATGACATTAAGTGTTCCTTTATTCACAACTGGCTTTACCAGTAGCTTTTAGAATACACCTGTCACATCCAATTCGTTATCGGTTGGAAATGGGGCACTTGGGGGATCTGAACATCCAAACCATCAAATCTTACCATGTGCCTAACTGGAACATCTTAATCTTTTAGAATTGCCTTTCTTTGGATGGAGGAAACCTTTGTGGCGTCCTGCTGTCCACTTGGACAAAGGAGCAGATGTGGAATATGTGTGTGATCGTGGGCTCTCAGCTGTCTGGGCAGGGACGGACCGAGAGAGCTACAAGAGTTCCTGGTTCCTTTGGAAAGCATTAATTGCAACATCAGCCCTTGCTATAGACTCTTACTTAAACTGAGTCAGGATTACTTAATTTGCAGAACAGCTGAATTATAAAGTAAAAATCTAATTGTAAAATACTATGAAAATGAAATGAGATCTATATTTATTTTTTGCCTGTGTTTATATGTATCAATTGGTTTTAAGGTTTCCTTTTCTTTTACTCATATATTTGATATTTGCCATTTTTCACTGTTTCAAATTTCAGCAAATAAAGATAACCTTATTGCAAAGATTAAAAAAACCCCCACAAGTAAAAGTGGACTTATGGAAAATATAAAGATTGAACACAGGCCCTCCCTGAAGAGGTGAATACTCTGCTTTCATTAACAAGTCACTTTTAGTTCACACTGACAGCATTTTACACTGAGGTCCTGGACAACCAAACAGCTATTTTTGTCTTTGGACACTGGATTAGTCCCCTTAACTGCAGTAGGATTGCAGAAGCGTATGAAGCTAAGCATGTATAGGAAATTAATATACAGAGCATCAAATTAGAATTCTCATTTCGTGACAGGATTTTTGTAGGACATTTCTTCACTTAGCATTCTAAAACATATTTGTGGAATATTTATGTGGTAGCTATGGCACATTTCTAAAAGGAAAGAAGTTAAGTCTGCAGTAGTGTATTTTAAAATACACACAATATTTAAAATGCCACGAGAGTGGATTTTTAATTTACACAACTGTATAAGTTAAATCTGAACTGTATATATCAAAAGCATTAGATCCATTATTTAA